AAATATTTTTTCAACAAAATGAAGGCAGTAAAGAAAGAACAAAGGAATGAAAAAGATATGACATATAGAAATCAAAGTAGAAACTGTCTAAACCAATGTCACAAAGGATTTCTTCTATGTTTTGCTCTAGAAATTTTATAGTTTGGATTTTACATTTGAGTCTAAAATCCATTTGAGTTAATTTTCATGCAGTGTGCGATTTATGGACCAAAGTTCATTTTTTGCACATGGATATACAACATACCAATAATTACATTAAATGTGACCTAAAAGTCATATGGAAATACAAATGACCTGGTATAGCCAAAACAACTTTGAAAAAAAAAACTCAAGGACTTATGCTGCCCGATTTCAACATTTATTATAGAGATAATCAAGAAAGTATAGTATTAGTGTAAGGATAGACAAATAGATGAATGGAAAAGAATAGAGTCCAGAAATAACTCCACATATGTGTGGACAGCTTGTTTTCAACAGAGGTACAGAAACAATTCAGCAGATAATGAATAGTTTTTTTCAACAAAGCTATTGGAACAATTAGATATTCACATCAAGGAAAAAAAGAATTTCAGTCTATTATCTCCCACATTATCCATTATGTTTATATTTATCCATTTATTTATAGATAACTGTTTATTTATAAATAAATTCTTAGATTGGACACTAAAAGGACAATCCATAAAAGAAAAAGTTGATATATTAGAGTTTATTAAGTCCCTATGAGATCAAAGTAGTTGAGCAAGTAACTTGGGATAATAGGAGTTCCTTGACAATGTGAAAGTTACATGTGGACTCTGAGCTATTGATATGTCATCAGTAAATGGGGATGAGAATACTCATCTAATAGGGTTACTGCTAGAATTAAAATGAGTCCTTACTATGTAATGTGCTTAGCACAGACTGGCGTGTAGTAGTAGGGGTGTATAGAATAGAAGCTAGTATCTATTGAAATATTAGTAATGTTAATAACTACCTGCATTGTGGATAACAATGGATTAATTCAGACTCTGTAAAAGAGTTTCCTTACTTACCTGAATGTAATCTTTTGAATGCCAAAGCACTGCAATTTTGTTTGGAAGGACATTAACTTTTGGTATGGCTTTAAAATTAGTTATATCGAAGAATAGGAAGGAAAAATCTTAAGTGTAATCTAATTCCCACTTATCCTCTTTCCTTTGATTGGAGTTGCTTTTAAGTTTCCATCAGACTAGAATGATTTATTGCATTTTCAAAGAAATCTCCAGAGATGTTCTGTTGGTTTTGTTTTTGAAACTTTTTTGCTTTTGAACTTATCCAAACACTGAAAAACAATCTAACTGCATTGACTAACAACCTCAGATGTCACATAAGTTTTCTTTAATTCTAGCTTAAATCTTTAATGCTGTAGTTTTGTTTTTACTCATTTTCTTCTCAATAGAGAAGAAAGGAACAGCTGGTTACTATTGTCAAATTTCTTTTGTTTGGGATTTATTAAGTATGCAACCCTTGACTATCTTTTTTCCCCCTATCTGAATATACAACTCCCAGTGCTTTTTTCAAGGGATGATTGAATTTACAATGGAGAAGCCTTAGAGCTCACCTAGTCACAATAGATAACCTGATGAACTAATACCAGTTAGAATATTATTAATTGTCATCCAGCATTTCTTTTGTATTCCTTGTAGTGAATTGCCTGATTTGTCCTATGCTCAATTGCCAGCTGGGATATTGTTCTTTTTCTTATGAATGATAAAAACTCTTTGCATATTAGTGATGTTAACTATTAAGCCACCATATCATACTTTTCCCATTTTGTTATTTGCCTTTTAGTTTAGTTTATAATATTTTTGTCTTACAAGTTTATAATTAATATTTTGTCAAATATATTTTTCTTTTATGAATTTCTTTTTTTAGTTCCATACTTAGAGACACCTTACTCACCATGAACTCTGAGCTATGCTCACTTATATTTTCTTCTGCTCTTTTAATATTTTTATTTTTAAGTGAGATTTCTAAGCCACCCAGAGTTAACTTAAATGCAAGATTGCACATTTGTTTCTAATAAAGTCTATGTTGCTTATTATAGCATATTGTTTCAGTCTGTTGTAACATTTCATATAATAAATCTGTTACATATATATTATAATATATAATATATCAGTGGTTCTCAACTGGAGGCAATTTCACCCTCTATGGAAAATTTGGCAATATCTGAAGACTTTTTTGTTTGTCAGGACTGAGAGTAGAGGGGGTGGGGGAAAGGCTGGCTACTGGCCTCTAGTAAGTAGAGGCCAGGATGATACTTAACGTCCTACAATCTACAGGACAGCCCCACAACAAGCAATGTCAATAATGCCAAGAGGCCTTGATAGGAGAGTGAGAGAGAGAGAGAAAGAGAGAGGGAAGGAAGGGAGGCAAGTGAGTGGGTACCATTCCTCTGCCAGTTACATACTCATCAACAGTGATATTACCTGCCCTGTATTTCCATTTTCTGCTCTGAGGAGCATTGTCAGAGACTTTGCCTCCTGCTTTGCAGAAACCCAGATACATTGTATTTTTGGTTATTCCTGGTCGGTTTCAAAAGCAAATGAGCTTAATAGTTTTAGAGCACAGAACCTGGGGCCATACTGTCTGGATTGAGTCAGAGTTCTGCCATTTAGAAGTTGTGTGACCTTGAGCAAGTTACTTAATCTCTCTGTCTTCAGTTCCCTCATCTGTAAAGTGAGGGTAATACGTCTTTATCCTAAATTGTCATAGAATTGCAAGATGCTGAAAGCAGTGCTTGGCACATAGTATACATTACAAAAGGGCTTGGTAACAATGATCACAATAAAGTAAATGACTTGTTTTTTATAAACCATATTTGATCACAGTGACTTTTACTTACTTTTTATATTAAAAATTATAGTTTTTAAAATCCATTGCAGACTTTGCCAGCAATCAAGTTGAAGCAACGTGTTTCTTCTTGAGCCCTTTGCTGTGCTCTCATCCTCTTGCTGTGCAGCACAAACCCCATCAGAATACCAACTCTGTTCTCTATGATATTATTATTATCATTTAACTTTTAGTACCATTGTCAAGCTTGCAGATTTCCCTGTAGGTGTGTATCTGCTTAGTATTTAGAGTTACTTGTTTTTTCTGTCTGTGAGAACCATTAATTTTAAATAAAGACTATACTCATTTTTAGTTACATTCTGAAAGTTAATGATATCCATGGAATTATATTTGTCTTCTCGTGTCAAAAATTTCAATTTATTCTATTAACTTATGCTGAACAGATTTTGTGTCAACATCTAGACACCGTGTTGTTTCTGATCCCCTTACTACATAGACATTTTCTTCTGTGTGTTTCTGAGCTTCTTCATTCTCATTTTGCTTTCTATCATATATGGCATCCTCTAGATGCACATGTCCAATGGAATTTCTGTGAGGACGGAAATATTCTAATCTGCACAGTCCAATATAGAGGCACTGCTGAGCACTTGAGCTGTGGCTAGGGCAACCGAACGACTGAATTTCAGATTTGTTTAAATAGCCCCCTGTGGCTGGTGGCTGCCATACTGGACAGCACAGCTGCGGGGCACCTGCTTTCCTCTCCATTTTCAGTTTGAAATCTTCAGCTTCCTTCTAACTTGAACCCATTGCACTGAATGTGTTCATATACACTTTTGTTTCTCCTGTACATAATGTCTATACATTTCTTATATTCCAGTAATCAAGTTAATAATACGTAGTATTAAATGATTGGGACCGTACATGTGTATTTCTGCTTATAGAATGTTTAATATATTGTCTCTTAAAATCAGGTGCTTGCTTTTCTTTAATTTATTTTGCAAATAATAATGTTCATTGCAGAAAAAAAGAACAACAGAATATATAAAGAAGAGTGTAAAAATCACCTAGGTGGCACAAAGCAGAGATAATTACTACTATTAGTATACACACACACACACAGAGTGATATGTGATAGACTTGGGCCTTGGATGAGTTTTTCTATACATAATATATTCTTTTATTTTGAACACTTTACTAATTATAGAGATAATATATGTTTATTCTTTTAAAAAATTGAAAAACACTGAGGAGTATAATGAAGGGGAAACAAATCATCCATAATCACAGAATGCATAGGTTAACCACTTTTATTGTTCTGATTTATTTTCTTCCAGTGTTGTTTCTAAGACCCATAGGTAAATGAATACGCAGATAGGTAGGTAGATGGATAGGTGGACAGGCATTTTTTTTTTTTTGAATTATACTACAGATAAACAGAATGCACTAATACAAGTATAAACCTTTCAGAAGGTAATTCATATATATATGTCACTATGAGTATGTGTCATCAACAATGGTATTAGTGGCCATTTTAAACGTTTATAACTTTAAAGTAATAAAAATAGGTACTGATTAACACTTATTCACTAAATTTGTTAATCCATTACTTGTGTCTTACTTTTTACATCATGAGAGCTTTCCTATAGCATAAAATAAAATTCATAAACATGATTTTAAGGGCTGCATCATATTCTATCATATCCATGTATGGTATTTTATTTAACCAGTTTCCTGCTGTGGGCATTTAGGACGTTTCCCTTTTTCTTGCTACTATAAATTGCATTCCACTCTACATTCTAGTGCCTTAAGACTTTTCATCTCTAATTATTTCCTTAGGATACATTCTGAGAAGCAAAATCACTGGGCCAAATGAAATGAACAGATTTAAGACCCTTGACGTATATTGGCAAATAGCCCTCAATAAAGTTCCTTGTTGCTTATGGAAGAAAATAAATAATCTTTGTTCTATTTCTATCCTTTTAATCACTTTTATGCAGCTTTTCTTTGAACCTTTAAACTTCTCTTTGGTTTTAGGCCTCAGAATTGTTTTTTTAATAAATGTTTCTTTCAAGGGATTAGCAAAGTAATCATGTTGTTATTAATACCCAAACAATGTAACTCTTGTTTTTTCTTAGTAAAGGTTGTCAGATGTAACATTTTTCATTGTATAAATTGTTTCTTTCTAGGGTGAACAAGGAGAAAAAGGAGATCCAGGGCTGCCTGGCATTAATGGACAAGATGTAAGCCTAGCTCTCTTTTTTCTAATATGCTGTTTACATACTAAAATATGCTGACTCTCTAATACTACTAAGATTCGACTATCTTTGGAAGAACTAGTCACAATCAGGGCATCAAGAATCAAGGACGTGGCTCATTAGAGGCCTGGGATTTTTAGTTTCGTTACAGGTAGTTCCTTAGTTTTATATATTTTGTGTATTTCATACTTGTGCTCATCCTTAACAGCCCTTTCTTCCTTGCTGTTTCTGGCTTGCATTTTCCCTCTCTTCCTTTCTCTGTCTTTTTTCTTCTCACATACGTTCTGCTGTGGCCTGTGTTCTTACCCGGGGTTCACTTTTCATCTTACCCCAAATCTCTGTCCACTGAGGGATCTATGTAGGTAGGATGGCATTGGTGAAAGGAAAGGGAGGAAGGAAGGGAGGCCTGTGTGTGTGTGTGTGTTGCTCACCCTCCACTGTGCAGTTCTTCAACCTCAGGGATACCATCCCCAATAACATCTTCAAGTCCTAGCATCTCCTCCCCTTTACCCTAGGATTTTATCCCTCTGGAGCTTCACATTGGTTCTTGTGATGAAACTTAAAGGATAGCCCAAATCTGGTTTTCCTCTGAAATGCAGAATACTCTTACTTCGGGTCAAACTCACCATTGACTATAGATATACTAACTTTACTGGGGGAAGTGTCTACAAGGAGGGTTATTTTTTCCACAGTTTCCTTTTTTTTCACTTGCATAAAAATGTTTTAGAAAGGTTCTGAAGGGCTGCACTATTTGCTTTGTGGATAAAAGAATAAGGAGGCCGGATTTGGTTCCCTAACGCCCTAGAGGTGTTATGAAGCCCATCTTGTGTGCAGTTGATCATCACAGTGGGAAGGGAGGCTGATCACACAGTCCCTGGGGCCTGTGGACAAAGTAAGAGAGATATCTGAAGTGTGTGTGTGGGGGGGGGGGCGTGCCACCAAAGGAGAAATATCTCAGGAGTTAAGCCTCCTGGTTAACACTGGCTTGCTGCTCTGACCCCGCGGCTTTATTCTCTTACTTCCTAAGAAGCCCCAGGCACGTCTCGAATATGACCCTCATTCTTGTTTCTCTCGCCTGTGAAGTGGCTTTCTACACCAAAGAATGGAGCTGGCCTCAGGGGCTTGCAGCTGGAGGAGTCTGCATTTTCTCTACTTCCTTTGTACATCAGGACACTGCATGTCACAGCTCTTGGCCCTGCACTTAAATAGAGCATCTGATTCACCTCCCTACCCTGTCCTGAGGTGCCTGCTGTAGTGGTAAGAGTTCTGGAGGGGAGAGCCCAAGGCCAGTTGTGTCCCAGGTCTGTTGCTAGTTGAGAAAATCACTTCTCCGAGTCCGTCAAGTAATAGAATAGATTCGAAAGTCTCCATCACTGTAATGTCCTGTCATTTTATACAAAGAAATTAGTAAGATTATGAACTTGAATATCATGATGCAGTTTGAAGCCTTCATTCAGGTTTTTGGACTTCCTGCGACATGTAAGGCAATGTAGAGGAACAAGAGACGAGCCAGCTGGAGCCAGTGCGGGCTGCGGGATATGAAGTGCTCGCTCTCCCCTCCGCACGTGGGGCAGGCGGGTCCCGGCTATGTTTAAAGGAAGATCCGTTTCCCAGCGTGTTCTATAAAAGGGATAGAATTTGGGCCTTTGCCTATGTTTTTGTTCTTTCTATCGTACTTTTCATGAGGCCAAAGACCATTTCTTGGAATCTCTAGTTCTTAGTAAGTGTTTGGACTGAGTAAGTTCTCAGTAATCATTTGCTAAATTTTCATTTTAAAAACTGAGAGATGATTATAATAGTCTAAAATATAAGTAATTAGAGCCTAAACTAGGGTAACAGAGATAGAAGGGAGTGCGTGCACAGATAGGGATATTGCAGAGGTAAAACATACGTAATTTGGCACTTTATAGCAGTGAAAACTCAAAATAGCCCAAGATTTTGACCATGCATTATGGGAAGGATGTTATCTTGTGATATGCAGGAAGGTTGATAGAAAATAACAACAATGTTGCCAAAGATAACCAAGCTACGTGTCTGTGGGCTCTCTGAGATGGAGGAGCAAAACAAAGATTTTTAGAAGTTCGTTAAGATAATGTTAGAATTGAAATAGAGGAAGGATTTGTCCAAACACTTGACTAAAACTGGAAGGAGATATGAGGGGTTGGAACCCAAAGTGTGTTCACATTAACTTAGAAATTTGGAAATTTTTCTTATGTTATCTGAAAATAAGGTGATGTGGCTTTTTAGAATTAACTGATTGATGCACACGTGTGTTGGAGTGCCTGCTACATGCCCAGATGCTCTGGCAGCTGCTGCGTGAGCTCCGAATCTCAACAAGACCAACTTGTTGAGAGAGCCCACAGAGTGGCAGGCAGGGTGACCTCTCCTCTCCAAGAAGGATCTGGGAGGAGCCTTTGCCCCCATTGCAGCGTATAATTTCTTTAGCACTATCACTGTTTAATGTAGCTCATTAGGTACAAGACAAAGCACATTAACTTTTCTCACTTGGTTACCTAATTAATGTGTAAATGATAGTATTTTCCTCCCTTAATTTTGCCAAAGATATTCAGGAGTCATGACAAAGGGGAAATAATAAAAAGTAATGAAAGTTCTCCTTTTTTCCCCTCTCCTGTCACGAGAATGACTTTAAGTCCAAGGAAAATGCACAGATGCTCTGTTATTACATCATTGGTGGTGGTGGTGTTAATATTGTGTTATAGTTCATAAACTTTTCACAAGGAATTTGAAATTTGATCCGTACCCCAGCTTTCTGGGCGAGTGGGCATGGGAGATGATAGCATCCCTATTTTCAGAGGCAAGAAATGAAGGCCTGGGAAATTAAGCAACTTTCTTTTAGAAAATGGTAAAATCAGCCTTTAGTCCTACATGTTTGACTGAAAAGTCTCTATTTTCCAACTAAATCATGCTGCAGTTGTCATTGCCTGTTTTTCAATGCTAAAATAAACTGACTCTGCAAACTAAAATCATTCAGCAATCATGACAGTTCTCTCTGACTTTCAATAAGTGCAGGTACACATTCTTAGGGAATGACGGGTTTTATAATATCTATTTCAATTTGAATTAAAATCAAGCCAAGATGGGGATTATAACTTCAGAAACATCCTGTTAGAATGCAGAGTGAATAAACTCAATGGGCCAGCTCACTCTAGCTACTTTCCAAGTCAGAGAAAATTGGACGAATTTAATATTCCTACTAAATGAATTCAAAAGCTTTTTTTTGTAGTCTTTATTCTTGAGTATTATGTATATCTTGATGTAAATGTATCCTTTAATAATTTCTTCTGTTTCAGCTTTCCCACAAAATGGGCAAGCCCACTTTGGAAAATGTAAACCTTATTTAAAGGGCAGTATGCAACAGTTCAATCTTCCTCAATGGGACACTGTTGGTATTTGGGGCAAGACAATTCTTTGTCATATGGGACTGTCTTGCAAGAGCAGAGTGTTTAGCATTCTTGAGGCTCAACAACTAAATGCCAGTAGCAGCTCTTAATCATTAGGACAAAAAAAAAAAAAAAACCCGTGTCCTCAAGAAGTTGATAATCTGGAAGGTAAACTAATCAAGATAGGAAAACAAAACAACAAAAAAAAAAAAAAAATAGCCCTGATACCTTTCTAAATGCATCCTTGACGGGGTGTGTGTGTGTGTGTGTGTGTGTGTGTGTGTGTAAACTTTGGATTGATCTCCAAGGTATTGGAGTATTGGACTAAAAACACATGTTCATATTTCCCTAATCGTTTAAATAATGCAGGCCACACAGATTGAAATGGTCAAAAATTTGAATTGCTAGAATTTAGACTTCAAAATGCAAGACCTCGGCTTTACACACATTCTGGTTTATGATTAAATGATTTTGATTGTGACCTATTATGAGATACATTCAACAATGCCATCTTAGAATGGACTTGAGAGGGAGTCTTATAAAGTCGTTAATGTGGCTTCTGCCGCTGCCTAGCTGGCATCCTACTTGGTACATTACTTGTTCTCTCTGCCTCAGTTTCTTCATTTGCACAATGGGATGATAATATTAATAGCACTTACCTTAAAGCTTCTTTTTTATTTCTTTTTTTATGAGGATGAAAGGGGTTATCATTCATAAAACATTTAGAACAGTGTCTCATATACAGTAAGAGCTATGTAAACATTTGGTATTATTAGAAACTGGGTTCAATAAAACACATTTATCTCAAATAGAAATATCTTTTCATTTATTTGTTTTTGTGGGATTATATAATCTTAGAAAAGTAGATTTCAATCATTCAGTTTAGTCTCTTCCTCTGCATCTTTATTATTGTCTTTCAACCATCCCTTATCAGAATTACAGCATCTGATGTTCCTAAAATAATCATGTTAATCTCCTTATACTAATGCAATCTGCGATACAAAAATATTGAAATCACAAAGCTGAGATAGCTGGCGACAGCTGGTGCCACTGATAGGGAATTTGATGCAGTCAGTGGAAGATGGGCAAAGAACTGATTGATGAGTTAAAAATTTTAACAAATAACATTATTTTATATCATTTTCTGATTTTTAAAGATGCTATGTACCATGAGTAGTAGGTCTTCCAATAGAGATTAATTTCATAGTCTACCTGCTTTTATAATTCTAGTTGTAATACTCTCCTTCAGCTTTCATGCCTTACATAAGGGTTCCTGTCTCCACATAACATGCAGAGTCAACTACTGTGCTTTTGATAATCTTCATATATGTGAATGTTATTGAAAACCTTGATAATAGATGCCTATCATATTCGATATGAAATTCAGAGTCTGTTCCATTTAGTTCTTTATGCTTTATGGTGAGTGCTGTGTCTTTTTCTCCCCAGTACTCAATAACCATTGATGGCAGCTGCAGTGTGACACGAGGAGAAAAACTGCACTTGAGAAAAGCATTACTGATCTGTTTCTCAGAGCCCATTATGGTGCCCTGGCCTTAACGACATTGTACTTTGTCACAGGAGGACATGAGTTACATGGCCTACTTTAGTGGCCGTAAACATAGGAGCTTGGCAGATGCGATACTTCTCAATTGCATTTTATCCTAAGTGAGTTAAAGCACAGTTGTTACATATCCATCAAACTGAGTACAACACTGAACAGACCAAACTATTAATTATCCCTTAGACTTGGACTTGAAAAGTAAAAGCAACATTTATTAAGTTCCTACCATGTGTTAAGTGTTTTTACGACATATGGTTCTCAGAACAACCCTTCAAGATAACTATTATTTATATCTATTTCATAGGGAAGCTTAAATAACTTACCCAAGATGATGTGTAAAATGCCATTCCTTTCCTGACTCTCCAGAAGTCTTGAGCACTTCCGGTAGAATTAGGCCTCTCTGGAACCGTCATGTCCATCTAGAAGAGTACTCAATATTCGCATTGACTTGTAATTGGTTGCATTATTCCCCCACCCCCTTCCTGACCGTAGTTGATAGAAACAGTGATAGTTAGCTGGTTCAATTGCCAATCAGTCCCTTCCCCAGAAGTTATAGTTAGGGTTAGTTTGTCAGGCAGGAATGTTGAAAAATTTTTAACATATTATTTTATGACTAAAATAATATTTTTGTAACATGTAACATATGTGATGATTATGAATCATAGTAATAACTGGAATTCAATGTAATCTCTTGCCCACCCCAGAGTTAGCCATTTTCCTGAATGTTGTGTTTAATGTTCCCTTCCATTTTTAAAAATAATATTTTCATGTTTATATGTTCATAGGACTATAGGGTTTAGTCTTGCATGTTTGTAGAGGTTCAACAATACTAGTTGAATAAATGGGTACTTGATGCCTTTCTCAGCCATTTCTTTCTTCATGTTTGTCTTTTCTCTGGATAGTGTTACACGAGCAAGAAAAGAGAAAATCTCTTTTTAATAAATTTTCAGCTTAGTAAGTGACACAGCCTCCTAGCCAGTTACTTAAGCCGAGTACGAATCAGCCTTGATGCTTCCCTTGCCTGTCCCCATTTCTGGCATATCTGCAGGTCCTGCCTTCCTAGGTGCCAGGTCTAACCACTTCTCTCCATCTCCACTGTGGCTCCCTTGTCCCACCATCTTGCCTTCTGGCCTGGAAGCTCTGATAGCCCCTGTTCTGCTTCTACTCTTGCTGAGTACAATCTATTTTCACATTGTAGCCAAAGTGATTTTTTTGGGGGGGGCGGGGGAACACAGTCACATCCTGTCATTTCCCTGCTAAAACACTAAGTGGCTTCTCGTTGCACTTAGAACAAAACCCATTCTTCTTGCCATGGCCTGCAGTTCTTTATGTACTGTGACCCCTGGCTCACCTTGACTTAATCCCCTGCTCCTGACCTGCAGCTCAGGATGCTCCTTGCACCCTGCAGGCTTTTGTGCTTGCTGTTCCCTCTACCCACAACACTTCTCCCCCGGATCATCATACGGCTGGGTCCTCTGAAACCACAAATGTCACCTCCGCACAGAGGCTGTTTCCAACCACCCCCCCGGAGCAGCAGCTCTCCCCCTTCACTCTTATCACGTTCAGCCTGTTGACCTGTTTGTCGTCAGTCACCCTCCTCTTATAACATGAGTTCTATAAGGGCAGGACTCTTGACTTTGTTAAGGAAAAAATTAATCTGACACTTGTTAAAATGGTAAGGAGGCCTTTTTGTTTAAGACTATTGCAATAGGAGTATTGCAGTAGGGGAGAGAGATTGGGCTCAACTCTGAAGGCAAGAAGGACAGTGGGGATTTATAGCCAACCAACAGAGTGACGGGGTCAGTGGGTGCAAAATTACCAAGAGCAGACATCAAGGATAGAGGAATTCTTGCTAAACTGACTTAACAGGATTCTTGCTGAAGACAGTCCAAAGACTTATACATCAAAGGTGGGGGATGAGGGACTTCATCAGATATCAAGGATGGGGGAGTCTCTCTAAACTTACTTAGCAAGATTCTTGCCAAAACTGGGCTAGGCAGGCCAAAAACAGGACAGGGTGGGGGCCAAGGTTGAGGCCTGGTAAAGAAGACAGCTCAGAGGAGCCCGACTAAAATTTGGTCAAAGTGAGAGTCTTTGTCAACTTCTCGTTCTTTTTTGTATCTCTAAATAACACTAATAGAAATATTATGTATTATACATATTATGAATATTATATGTATATAATATTATATTTTTAAATATAGTATTACAAATTCAAGGCAAATGTAAATATATTACATTTTCTAGTAGACACATTAAGAAAGGTAAAAGGAAACAGGTGAAAGTAATTTTAACAATATATTTTATTTAATTCCATATAACAAATGTTATCATTTCAATATGTAGTCAGTATAAAAATTATTAATGAGCTATTTTACATTCTTTTTTGTACTAAATATCAAAAACCCCATGGTATTTTACACTCACAGCACATCTCAACTCAGACTAGTGGCATTTCAAGAACTTGAGAGCTCCCTGTGGCTCATGGCTGCTGTAGTGGACGGTACTGAGGTTAGAAATGTGATCTCACACGGTATACGATACATGTTTACTGAATAAACGGGTGAATGCAAGAGTAAATTAAGGATAAAATCTATTCAGAGAAATGGCAGTTTTCTTCCCCCAAGTGTTGAGAAGACGTTGGTGCCAAGTTTTACTCCAGAGGCGTGTACAAATAGAGTATGTGTTGCTTGGTTTGGGAAGGAATGGATATTTCAAATAATAAGAGAATATCACATCTCAAATATGATTTAATTTTCACTCATCCTGGTTCTATAAATAATCCAAGGTAATGATAGAAGAAACAAAGCTATGAATTTTATCTGTGAAGGTATTTGTGCAGCTACAAAGGTTTTTTGCCAATTAGTTGCTGTTTTCATCCATTAAATTTTTTTTTCTTAAAGTGTCAGACTAGTTTTCACATACTCTCTGCAACAAGATTACTTTAAGTAACCAGTTTTCTTTTGTTCATTTAAATTCATCCTTGGCATCTGTATTGAGAAGTTACAGGTGATGGCATTTGGCGTTGTTTATTCGCTACAAAGTGTCAGAGCAGGAACAGCTGGAGCCCTCAGCTAGGAACAGGGAGACACTGGGACTCACTGTGCGTCGTGTGGCTTCAGAACATTTCTTTTTTCCATTATTGTTCTTCCCTCATCCAACGTGTTAAATTAAGGACGAGGAAAGATCTCTTTTCCTGTTTACCACACAGCCAGGATGTCTGCCTAACTTTCTTTTTATTTACACTGTGAATGCACTTAACTGTAGAACTGAGCTCCTCCAGTGAAATCTAGTGAGGTCTTCTTGAAAGCGGGCATTTCTGAGTCGGATCAACTAAATGTCCACTGAAACACTCAAGAGTCCAGAAGACTCATGAATATAGTTATCCGATATGCTGTCTTTGTCTTATTTAGTTTCATTTGATATTTTTATAAATCCAGGTAAAAAAAAAAAAAGACAGGAATTAGAGAACTAAAAGGGTACTTTAAAACAGGAAAGAGATTACATTTTAGCCCCAGCTTTGTGAGTCATAGGAAAAGAATACATCCTTCTTTCATTTTTCCCCCACAATTAGATTTCTTGATGGAGACATAAAAATGTTTTTGATTTAAATCTTGAATTTTTTTGGCAAGCTTTGTAAAGGCCAAATCAATGCTAAATCAGAGGTATTTACAACATCCACACATTTAATCCAAAGTGGATACTTAAAAGCCCGTATAGATCTAAATGATGTTCTCCCAGATGGTGAATTAATGTAATTTGAGCAGGAAGCAAAGTTGCACAAATATGCAGTATTGAGGCCCCGTGCTGACTGAGTGTATCTGCACCACCACAGCACAGATGTCACTTGTCACTTTAGTGCCAGTTGTCTCTAGTTCTCTCTATACCACACACTGAAGAATGGGATTTGGGAGTTCAGTAAATTATGATTTATTTTGTGACAAATGACTTGTTAGAAATTGAAGCATTCTGTGAACTGCGTATAGAAATCACATTGGTTGTATTCTTTGTACAGGGTTTGAAAGGTGACTTGGGTCCTCATGGTCCACCTGGCCTGAAAGGAGAAAAGGTATCGTATTCACCCAGGAAAGTGCTAATCTTTTCTGAAGAAAACCCTGAGAACCTATGCAGTGACTTTTCATTAATAATGTTTAACTGCCCAAAGTTAGTTGTGTTAAAATTAACCAAAGGCTGTTATGTGAAAAGCGTCTGAACAGGGAAACCTTTTGGTTCGTCTAGTCAGTTTGAAGAGACTAAATGCACAACTGCTAGTCAACATTAATTTGTGCTTGTAAGATTTTCCTTTTCTCTCCTTGCTTAACAGCATAGGGTATTCCAGCACTAAGTTAGCAGCCGTGTCCTGCATTGGGGACTCTGCCAGCAGCGCTGAGCTGCTACCGTAGTGGTGAGGCAGGTGGCCTTTGGGGTGAAGGAGGCTAGCTTTGTGCCTCAGTCCTAATCTAAATGCTCCATTTGCTGCCACCTCTTCTCATATGCCGTTTTATAATTGGCAGCGACCTTGAAGAGAGGGTTAAGAAAGAGTAAAAGCAAGAGTCATTTCGAGTGAGGTAATTGGATGATCCCAATCTGATGAAGCTTGAATGTGTGGGTGTTCTGCACTGTATTTTGTGTCCATTCTTAGTGCATTTAGAAGTCCTTGTCTATCTTCAATATCTACTTCTGCGTTAAAGCTGATCTTGCAAATCGGTCCTCAGTGGTTGATTTAAGCTACACCAATGTTCCTTAACAACTATTGGTTATTTTTATTCAATTGTTCCCCCAAAATAATGATTACACAATGCTAAGTTTTAACTTTTCAGGTGACTATAAGAGACGAGAAAAGAAAAAGTCATGGAAAAAAATCTCAGCATAAGAATACAGCCTCCCTGTGCCACACAGTTTGTGGTCTCCATAATGTCAGATGCTTGGTCTTCATAACTATGAGTTCTTATGAAATAAATACAGGTGCTGATGCAATAAAGCATATAGGTGGCATATTTATAAATTGGAAAATAGTGAACTTTTAGATGAATCATTTTTTAAAGATTTTGAATGATTTGTCAATGTATCTACCTGGTAATTTGTATTCACATAGGTCAGCAAAGCAATTTTAATATTTAAAAATGCATAAATATAGGCAAAGCCTCTTACAACTGGTGGCAAGTGTGATGCCAATTCAGCAGAGCTTTAGAAGAGGCAATGGGACCACTTCTTGCAGCTGGAAGGCATGAAATGGGGAGACCCACTTATTATTTCTGCTGATCCTCATTCTAACTTCATCAGAAAAATTATCTCTCGTTGTGACATTTCCCAGCTGCTCCACTGGCAAGTAACCATATTGGAAGAGATATTCTTTCTAATTTTGGATTAGTAGACAAAAGAATAGAAATTAGATTATTTTAGCTTTTCACAACAAGTTCTGCTGCTGCAAAAAGCATGGGGGTGCACAAGGTGATATTTATATCAGGAGAGCTAAAAGCACATGATGCATTGTTCATTGTGCGGAAACTTTTATCAAGATAAAATTCTATTTTTCTTTCCTTCAAGCTTTATCTGGATATTGCTTCTATCCATTCAGAATATGTATAAGTAATATGTGCAAAATGGGACTATTGGTAATTACAGCTTTTTAAAATCTATTTTAGGGAGATATGGGACCTCCAGGACCACCAGCCTTAACTGTAAGTATTCTTGAAATCAATATTCAAAATTGAAATACATTATCCTGTTTATTATTCACACTACATAGTGACTAAACCAAATTTAAGCCATAGGGTATTTTGAGAATTGAAAGTGACCTTAGAGTAGATCTAGCCAAACCTCCAGATTTTAAAGATGGATATCTGCCCACAACAGTGAAGTGGTTAACCTGAGGTCATATAGGTAGTTACTAGCAAAGTCTGGAAGCAGTACCTATCCTGAGCAATTTCCTCTACCTTCCATATGGTTCATAATTTTGCCCCTTAAATGTTTGATTATACATTGATTATACATTGATTATACATTAACATGACATTTAAATTTAATGGAAGCAGAGACAGTTCTACTTACCCTGAAAACTGTAAAAGAACAAAATAAACTATAATCACCTAAGGGGTAAAAACGGTTCCCTATTTCAGCTGATTGTTGCATTTCCCCCAAACCTGCCCAAGACCATTGTGTATCCCCACGTGATTTGCTTCTAAGATCTGCAAATAATAAAATGGTGAAATTTCAGTAACAGATTTTTGAGAAAAGTTTATAATGTGCACATAATGGGATTGTTCTCAAGTAAATGGCTCATCATTTATTAAGCATTTAATCATACATATATAATGCTTTTTTATTTAGATACAATTTACTGTTATAGATTTTCTTCATAGGCCATTAAGGATTCTCATTTACCTTAAAGATTTGGTCTAAGACTGACTCTAATCTTAATGAAAAAGAGGAAAGTTTTTTAAGTAGGATCATTTGTAGCCTGAGGTCTCTTGAATTTTATCTTGATATTACCTAATCACATAAATTAAGAATTCAAATCATCAGTTTTCAAAGACCTGTCCTGACTGCAAAAGGTCAGGTTTAAGGAAGTCTTCCAGCATCTGGACAGAGCTCTTCCAACAGGCAGCACGGGGCTGTCAGAGGCTGTGTGGCTTTGATAACGTTTATGTTTATCTTTGCACTTGAAAACGTCATTCTGAACAAGACATTAATAATGCCTTACACAAATAATCTTTGCAATGCTTACTTCAAGGACAAATATTTCTTCATAAATGGAAAATCTAAGGAACCAAACAGATGACTGACTTATGAATAACCAACTTCAATTTAAAGTGGAATTCTGTGCTTGAAGCTTTTATTTTCAAGATGGAAATAAAAACTATTTATTTGAGAGGCGGTTTTAACTACACACTATTCCATTTTTTATACTTTGTGGAGTTAATTTTAAAAATTATCTGGCAGTGATTTAGAGGTAAGCCTGCTCGTGTTGGTTGAGTCACACCTTATTCTTCTAAGTTGTCCCCTCCGTCACTCCATTGAGTTGTCTGGTTGCCTCATCATTTTCAACTTGTGTCTGAAGACAAAATGCAATCTGTGCGTATCATTTCACCTGATATGCAATGTTGGCCCCTCAGTCAGAAAACTGTATAGGACTGTATCTATTTTGTGGATTTCTAATGACAGCTGATGTCTTCCTGCCAAGTCTCACCCTAGTGATGTCTCTTTGCACTATGCAGCTGGCAGGTACCAAGGGAATACAAGCTAATTTTTATGCTCGTCTAATGATAGGACAAGACAAAGAGACTGTGAAATGAAATGTTTTATTTCATAAAGTAAAATATTAATATTATTTGGGTATTACTATTTATATGCAAGTCATTACTTTGTTAATGTAGATAATCAACTGTTAACTATGAAATAGGGGTGAACTGAAATGAATACCAACTTAGCATGCACTAAATATTTCATTGGTCTTACAGTGCAGGTTGATACATTTTGATGAAGTGGTTGATAACAATCTTCAAGGGAGCCAAAATGGCTGATGCCACCACATTTGGATTTATGAGGCACGAATATATAGGAGTCAATGAATTTAGAGTGCATCCACAGTGGTTCTTAAACCCAGCCGCACACTAGCTCCACGGAGAGATTTAGAACATGCCGCTGTGGGCCTCCACCCCCAGAAATTATAACTCAGTAGACCTGATGTGGAGCAGGCATATTTAAAAAGCTCTTCAGGTAGTTCTAAATATGCAACTGGAGTTGAAAGCCACTGTTTATGGGCATTATAATGGAACAAGCTTTTTTCCTACTTGGACAATTCTTTTAGACTTTTGAAGAAGTCTGGCTTTCATCTGAAATCCAACTTAATGCATGGTAATAAAGAAATATCTCTTTCCATTAGGGAGGCATACTAGTAAAACTAAATTAAGATTGAAGCCTGCTTGGTTAAGCGGAGGAGATTAGGGCCAGGAAGTTTCCTTTAATTACCACCCTTACCCAGCCATTCAAGGACTCCTGTGGGCTCAGAAGCCTTAATGCTTCTCAAAATGTAATGTGCATTAGAACATTCAGGGGTCTTGTTCAAATGCATATTTTATTCCATAAGTCTGAGGTGAGAGCATGAGTGTCTACACTTGTGACTAGAGGATGCAGAGTCTGCTGCTCCTCAGACCACATTCTGAGCCCTAGGGCTTAGCACCCAATATTCCCCAGCTGCACTGCAGACTCACTGCCTCCTTTCGTAGGTCTGTGGTTCTCCACCTGTACTGCACATCAGAATCACCTGAGGTGCTTTAAAAACTACAATTCCCAGGCTGCACCATATACCAATCAAGTCAAACCTCTGGGGAAGGACCCAGGCAACAGTCGTCTTAAATTTTTCCCAAGCACTTCCAACGTGCAGCCAAGTCTAAGAACTAATGCTCTGAGACCGCGTCCAATGCTTTTCCCCACAGCTTCCTCTTTCCCAGCTTGAGCTAACGTTTTAGAATTACTCATTGCATCAGTATTTGTATCAAAAGCACCCAACCTGATTACTTTCGGAAGCTTCCAGGAAATGCCAGACTCTCTGTTAATACCTGTGATTTGCTTCTAATTACTTGGTTATAGAGGATGGACATCTATCTCCACATTTACTAGCAAGTCCCTCAACAGTCCATTCTTGAGCAGGACCACGAGCATTAGCAGCTCCAGTATGCAGAATTCCAGAGACTGTCGAAGGGTACAGAGCTGAGCTGCCCTGAGCAAACAAGGAAAAAAAGCTGAACACTTTTTTCCCTCCAAAACATACATGCGATATTTGTTTTCCTTTATCTGTATTTTTATTAATAATAAATTGAGAAAAATAGTAACTGAGCATGTGGAAACATCGAGTGCACTCATGCAGGGCAATCCATTTTGATGCAGAACATTTGTGTGGAGGGTTGTGTTTATTGCTGTTATTTTTGTGTCCCTGTGGATGACCATGCTTCGGCTATTATTTTAAATTTTAAAAATCACATAGAACCATTTCACTTAAAAAATCTAATACGTAAAGCTATCCATCTGTTTTTATTCAATGTTACTTTGTTTCTCATTTATACTTTTTCTTGTAACTGGTTGTGTATAATTGGGTCTCAGTGGAGGAGATGGGTAGGGAATAAGAGAGGCCAAGAGTAGAGGAAGTAAGGAAAGGTAAGGTCGAGGAGGTGGTGTGAAGCACAGACCGCAGGCCTAGACACAGCTTCATTAATTGGATTCAACACAACAGCCCCTACTCCTTCCACCTTTCCCTGTCCTGCCACCTTGAAGTCTTCTTGCTGCCGGTGACCAGCAGCTCCTCGCTCTCCAACATACGGAAACCTCTTCCTGAGAAAACCAGCCAAAAGGGTGCTGCGGTTTGCAAATGCAGTGTGCAGTAAACTCCTTCGTTATCTGCAGAAATGAGATCCCATTTAAAATTCCACAATTGAATCCCTTTGATAGCATTTGAATCCTCCTATAGCTTCATGTTCACGGATCATGTGGACAGAACTGCCTCAGACAAAAGAAAAAGCTAAAAAGAAGGAGGTGGAGGAAGAGGAAGAGGAGGAGGAGGAGGACGGGGAGAAATACAGAAGGAAGGGAGGAAGGAAGGAAAGAAGGGAGGAAGAAAAGAGAAATCTGGAGCCTGTCAAAACTTCATAGAGATTAACCGTTACGGCATTAACTGTCACATTCTTTAACCTTTAAATGTTCTGTCAGTCTACTTGACTTGGAAAAAAATTGAATGATACTTTTTGATACAACATTAATAAACTTGTGAATCTTCCCAGTTACTTCCTTTACTTTATAGCCTTTCTACATTATTCCAACAACAAAAGACTAAGGAATAAATTTAAGAACAAGTTTGTGACTCTATAAGTGGAACATCTGGAAAGTAGTCTATAAAACAGTGTCCAAGAATCTGCCCTAAATGCTTTTGTTCTGCAAAATGCCCTCTGGAGATATGGTAAGAAGAATGAAACTCCTTTCCTCTCAAAAGGTGAGAATGTGGTTGAATCACACAAAAAAAATAAAATAAAAAGAAAGGAAATCTGTGCTTGCCACCATAAACCCACTTCCATGTATCTCTCACTAGGCATATTTTCAGCAAACACAGCTGGTTGAAAATAAAAAATTTAATCAAATCACTTTGATTTCTTTGCAGCCTCTTTTTGGATGATACCAAATTCACTAATTAGTTTAGTACTAAATTAACTATTGTGTAAACATAGTAAGCTATTATACTAGCTTACAATAAGTGCAATTTTAATGTCCCAAAGAAATAAATATGAGATTCTTTTACCTGATTTAAACTAATTAGTTGATCGTTCTTTCCTTATCCTTTTTCATATATCAAAATTATAGCCATTTTTTAAAAACGACACAACGCCTTGTTATATTCTAAGTAATGATGATAGTAACAAGAATAAATATGGCAAACGTTTATTGAGTGCTCACCACGTGTTGTCTAAACCATTCCCTAAACAACCCTGTAGGTAGAAAACAATTGTGACCACATAGCAGGGTAGGGAATTGAGGACTGGAAAATATAAGTAATTTGCCTGAGGTGACAGAGGTGATGAGTGACAGAGCTCATATTCAAATACCTGTTTGATTCTAAAACCTAAGCTTGTTTTTTTTTTTAACTTAGGCATATAATTTTATTTAAAGACATACCATTCTCTTTTTATTCTAT